TACCTGGGGTTGATGGAGATGCACATTTCCAGGAGAGGCCCCAGGTTGATGCCTGGAGGGACAGAGCAGGGTGTCACCGGAGCCATTTCGGAGCCGGCTGGTGCTGCGCCGGGGCCGTCATCCCCCCCTCCCCAGGGCTCGGGGTCCTGTGGGACTCAGGAGGTCCCACCTACCCGTCAGGAAGGCGAAGCCGGCCAGCATCCCCAGCCTCTTCTGCTCTGTCTCCCGGCTGTGCGGGGTGGCCGTCAGCCAGATCATCAGCCCCAGGGCACCCAGGCCGGTCAGGAAGCTGAACTGTGGGGCGAGAGGCAGGTGGGGGCCCGGCATCGCCTCGCCGGGGCGGCGCGGGCCGGGGTGTGTGAGCACAGGGACCACCTGCGACGCCCCAAAGGCCCCTCACCTGGAAGAGGTGGGTCACCACATTGATGTAGGCCCCCGCGGCCGCCACGAACATGCAGAGGGCGAAGCTGGCATAGACCCTCTTCAGGTGCTCCTGGGTGGAGGCCGAGCTGCGGGCGAGGGGGCGGTGGTGAGGCCGGGGGGGGGGGTGGGGGGGGCCCCCCGGGGGGGGGGCGGTGGGGAGGCCGGCGGTGAGGCGGGGGCAGCCCCCCGTGAGCCCCCCCGACTCGAGCCCCGCCTGCCCGAGGCGTTACTCACATGTGGGAAAACTTGAAGAGGGCGTCAAAGTTGATGTTTCGGTCGAAGACGTTCATGGTGCCGGGCTGGGAGCAGGCACACCGGCCGCTTCGCAGAGGTGCAATCTGCAAGAGGGGAGGTGGCTCAGGGGGACGCCGGAGCCCTCCTGCGCTCCCAACGCTCCCGCCACGCGGCAGAGGAGCTCAGCGGGAGCTGAGGACCTGCCCGTTCTGTGCGGAGCGAGCGGCAGGAGCTGCGGGCTGCTCGGGATCCGCCGCGCTCTGTGCCGGCCGGGCCCCAGAGCCCTCCTCGCCCAGCTGGTGCAAGCCTTGCGGGCTGTTGCGAGACCGGGGCTGCCCCTGGGGAGGCTCCGACCCCGCGGGAGCGCTGCCAGCAGCTGGAAAGCGTCTTTGTGCCAGGCTACTATTAGCGCCCGTAATGACGTCCCCAGAGGAGGCTCCAGCAGCGCAAGGCTCCCCGCGGGGCGTCCTCCTCCTCGCCCCTTCCCGCTCCGGCCCCTCCGCCAGCTCCCGGTCAGGCCGGCTCAGCCGGTGCTGTTTACCCTGGCACCCACGGGAGTGCAACCAGCCCAGCAAGTGGCCCGAGCCGCCTGTCCCCGCGGGTGGAAGGGACCGAGGCCGGGACAGACAAGGAGGCACAGGCTGTGGGGCTGCCAACCGGGAGGGGAGGGTCCGGGGTCTCCTCCTGCCACAGGGAGCCCTGCGCCCGCTGGCCTTGCCCAGGGCTGCGCTGGTTTCGCCCCAGCGCTGGGACAGTGAGAGCTGGGTTGTGACCGGGCTGGCGCCACCAGGCCAACGGGGCCCTCCTGGCGCGGCCCCTCAGCTCGCGGTGGGGCAGAGGCAGAAGTTGCTGCCCCATGGCCTCGCCGCGGGTTGCGCAAGGCAATGGGGAAGCTGGCTCTGCGCGGGGCGTGGCGGCTGCAGAGGTGTGCGACAGCCTCCTCCCGGCGCAGCGGTGACAGCGAGTTTCGTCAGGCAGGACCTGCCCTCCCTGCGGAGACAGCGGCCGGGTCCCGGCCCCCGGGACGGCGGAGGGACCGGGGCCTCCCACGCCGGGACAGCAGCCCTTCGCCTGGCACGAGCGACCGCGATGGGGCCGCAACCGTTTCGGTTTCACTGGTGACGTCCCCGCTCGGTGGCCCAAGGGCGGCCGCCCGGGGCCGCCGTCAATGGGGAAACCGGGA